ACACATAAAGGCTTTAACGTGATAAAAAATACTGTATCAGAGATAGTCGTATTACGGCCATTCGCAAAGCTGGAAAAGTAAAAACTATAGAACTGGAGCTGGCTACTTTATATTCTCTTTATATGTATTGTTATTAAAAACTATTAATTAATATTCATTTTCGAATTTTAAAGTGGGATAAACAGGGCGTTTTTTTAGAGGAGAATGGGATTTTCGGACCTTTGGAACTAGCAACACTGACATCACCTTGTAGCCGCAGGGTGGTAGCAAATATAATTAGAAGTTACCAGTTTTAAGCGAAACGCACATTGGCGCGATTCTGTCGTTGCGAATACGTTGCGAATTCGGCTGTTAACTTCGAATCCGCAAACGTGCGCACACTTGAGCGATTTTTTCGCGTCGATTTCCGATGTACAATTCACTCAATTTTCCCTTTATTTCGTGTATTTTCGCACTCGGCGTGCCCAAATCGTACAAAATACTATTACGAACGTTTTTGTACATTACACGTTTTTTTTCTTTGCCTTTATTGCTGTGACACCTTTCTTCTTCTTCTTTGACGCCTTCAAAACGCTGCAAGCCGCGTTTCGAACGCGTCAATAGAGAAGAACATTGAATGTTCGAAAAATTCGCAGCGACGGAATCGTGCAAGTGTGCGCTAGCGCATTAAAATGTATGGGTAGCATTGTTGCACGGTGCAGCGAACAAAGGTGGCGCCGTCAGTGGTACCGCTACTTTGGTTTTGCCGATTTTGACAGTTGTGGTAACTTGTAAATAAACCTTTGTTTACAAATCAGCGAAAGATAAAGTTGAATTATAAGTGAAAAATCAGTTTAAATCGTGTTAATTTGCAATTTGTGAGTGATATTTGAGTTGAAGACTGCGTAAAAACTAATACAATGAAGTGCTGTGTGTTAAATTGCGACAACCGTCAAGAGGCAAGAAGCGTAGATGCAAGTGTAGCGCTGGGACGAATCGCTGCATTTTGTGTACATAGGGCACGGCAAAGCCGTTCCCGAAATGTTTCTCTATTATTATATTAACAGCATTCCCTCACAATGATTTTGTTTCTGCTCCACGCAGCCTCCATTAGCAAATTAACTAATCAGTCCCGCAGAGATGCTGCTGCAGTTTTCTGCAGCAGCCTTAATTGCAAAGAAATAAAGTGCACTAAAACGATTGCTGAAGCAGCCTCAATTGCAAAGCAATGGAGTGCACCACAATGTTCACTGTTCTCTAATAGATTAGGTGAAAAATGCAATCTTTTCGCATTTAGCAAAATTAGAACACGTTTTTCGCAGTAAAGTGAACTGCTTTGGCTGTTTCAACTCGTTCTTCTTTTCGCTCTATTCTTTGTTTACTTGTGGTACACAAATGTCAACGCCCAGGACGGCGCAATCTTGTATTCTATCATTCTTGGCATTGTTGTAATTTTTGGGCTTGCGGATTCGCAACGACAGAATCGCGCCAATGTGCGCTTCGCTTTAGTCATGAACCAAAAATACAAGATCACGTAAGAACGCGACGTTGTATTTGTAACTGGTTTTGAGAAAAAAGTTTGCGAAAGCGGGTTCGTCAGCTGAGCGTTTGTTTACATCACAAGCACCACTATTTTACACTTTTATTCAAGTAAAGAAGAGTTAATTCAACATGACAACACATTTTAAAGCATTTTGTTGCATCATTTTACCTAAATTGTGCGTTTAAAGTGGCTGACAATAATTTTGGCTCATTTTGGTTTTCGTTGTTTTCTTTGCTTTGTTTACTTTTCGCTCGTTTTCCAGTGAAACAAGATGGCGTAGAACCCGCTCAAAAAATCGACTTTTTTCACTCTCTTGTTCTTACGTGATCTTGTGTCTTTCGTTCATGAGTTTTAGTCCGAGAATTTTTTGCTGGTAAATTCTGGTAAATGTGTCAAACGATCAGCTGTAGTGTGTTTGGCAACCAAATTGTAAACAAAAGAAAAGTGCACTCTGCTAATTCATGTTGAAAAGTATTTAATTACTTGTTTAAGTGGATTCTAATGAATTTGAAAGTATTTTTGGTTATTTACATGTGTGAGCTGAGCGTGTTTACATACAAAATAAGCAAAACTTTACAACCAAAATTTGGAGGTTATGTTGAAGTTGACAGAAGTTACCATTTTTTACTAGAAAGCGATCCCGTACTTTTCAATGTTACTCTCTCGCTCTGAGCGAATTTTTATTTTTTGACAATTTTACTAGTCGGGGTCCGAGGAATACGGGATTGCACCTATATTATATATTATAGTCAAGCATGCAGTATTTATATTTATAGCTTGCTATATAGTTCAATGCGAGCGTGAGCGTGAACGTTCGCAAACTCCATTTGTATTCTTATGGACAGTGTTGCCGTTTAGATTTTTCATAGTCTTTAAAAAGGGGTAATTGACGAAAAAAGGGTAACAAAATTATTTTTGCTTTTCTTCACTAGTAAAAGGATAAATCTGTTGTATTTAAAAAGAAAATACCGGGACAAGCTTTGCACAAAACAGGGTAGCAAACCGTTATATTCCCCTTAAAAGTTTTAAGTGATGCATTGTTTAGTACTAACAGAAGGAAATATTTTTTAGTAGCATGGTTCTGTTAATATTTCTTAAAAAAAATCTCTAAGAAGGGGCAAAAGACGCACATAGTTTTGGAAAACAGTCAAAAAATCCAAATTTTCAATATATATATATATATATAATATATATTTTAATTTTCTATCTTTTGATGTATCAACTGTTGCAAAAAGTTAAGTAATACGAAGATATTGGTCAAAATAAAAAGCTCACGGTCGCATTGAAACAAAATAATTTATAATAATTCCCCCTTGCCTTATATTTATATTTGTTATCATTTCATCATTTATAAATATGGCTTCAGGTTTCGCTCTTTAGTGAAAAAGTGTGCATGTATTGCCATTGTCATGTCAGTATTGTCCGGTATAAACCCTAATGCCTGGGTTATAATGGAAGTAACGAAACGGAGTGAACTTTCACTTAATTATCTCTTGTATAGGAAATGAATGCAAATGGTTATAATGCACGTAAACGTAACGTAAAACGGAACAATCTAAAATCAATAGATCCTTACGAATTCGCCGCGTATTGTTACGATTCACCCCGTCCATTATAACCAAGGCATAAGTTATGGGATTCGCGCAAGAACGATAGAATATATATATAGAATATATATATAGAATATATATATATATATATATATATATATATATATATAGAATAGAATCAGTTCATTACACCATGGGATTCGCGTGTTAACGAAAACTCACCACCGCATGGCGGTGACGTTGCCGTTGCTTCTCTCTCTCACTATCAACAGGAAATTTGATATGCTACTACGTACGCCAACCTTCGTTGACGTTACGTGCTTGACTAACTGCGCTTTAAGGGAGTATCCAAGTCGATTTCGTCAACACCACACAAAACAAAAAAAAAATTACAACAACAAGTTATACGCACATTGACAATCAGAGGGCAAATTCCCGTTCTGCATTAACACAAATACAAATAACACCTTTACATCGCATTTATTTCGGTGGTAATTTTATACTTTTCACTTCACTTCACGATAACGCAGAACGGAAATTGACCCTCTGTACAAAGCAAAATTACAACAAACACATCATTTCAAGGCGAATTTATACAAGGTGGTGTTGTAAAATCAGCTGATTTCTTTGCCTTACATGTATTTTGTTTTTGCTTTTACCACCTTGTATAAATTCGCCTTGGTCGGTGTTATGTAGAAATCAAGGTGAATTTATACAAGGTGGTGTTGTAAAATCAGCTGATTTCTTTGCCTTACATGGTGGTGTTATCGGATCCGCTGATTTCACGGCGAATTTGTAGCTTTTGTCAAAATCATGTGTTTGTTGTAATTTGGCTTTGTACCGATTGTCAAGGAGTGTATAATTTGTTGTTGCAATTTTTGTTTTTGTTCTGTTAACACCACCTTGTATAAATTCGCCTTGAGCACACCCACCAAAAGCAAGAACAAAATTCATGTAAATTTTGGAGCGAATTGAGATTTGACATAACACCCTCCATACAAAATACATGTGGTTGTCGTTGTTGTAATCTAAATTCGCCAGTATAAATTCGCCTTGGTAGAAATTTTGTTTGGCAAACTGCGGGCAATTGTTGTTGCAGCAAACTCTGAGAGAGCGAGTTTGGCGGCTCTCACAGCAAACTAATTTTGTTTGGTCACACTGCAGCAAATTCGGTGTTGTCATATACAAAAGTTTTAGACAATTGCTGCTATACACAAAATTTTCTGTGATACCGAAAGCCAGAGAACTGAATTTACACTGTAGGAGCTTCAAAGATTAGGGCACATTTAATTGCCTATACGATATCATAAAAAGTATATTAATTGAGCGCGTTATGTACATCTAAAATTCTCATTTCGTGTTGGCAATAGCCATGAAAACCATAATGAACGTGCAACCCTGTGCCAAGCTCGACATATACTACGTTTATACGCACGTATTATTTGCAAATAACAATTTGCAAAATGGTAAAATTTTTCGTATAAACGCTGAGTTCATTTTTTATTTGCAAATACTAAATCACGCCGTGGTACTATTTGCAAATAAGCGCAAGACGCCGTCATTCTTAGGTTTTATTTTCTTTTTCGGTGGTCATCTTATTGCCTTTTTATAATCAACTTTATTTAATTTTTTAACTTTATTTTATTTTTCGATGGCCAATATTAAAAAAGAATATTTCACCATCGAATAAACAGTGAGTTAGGTATTTGCAAATTATTTTTATTTGCAAATAGCTTACGTATAAACGTAGTATATAATTTGTTCTTCTTCCAAACGAACATATAAATTTTCACAATAGTCACTCTGTACGTTTGCCATTTGTCGCACTTTTTGCACACAACCCAAACGGGTGGCAACATAATTGCGCTATGTTGCACAAAACGACTGCCAGAGGTCGTCTTCGGCGCTGTAAAATAGAAAACGCGCTGTGATTGGTCATTGCCTACTGTACGTTTTGCAAGTTAAAATTGAGGAAAAGTCACTTTGGAATAAAAAGTTAATGGAAACATATAAATTGTTGTTAAATAGTGCAAATTTTTTAAAATCTAAATACAAGTTCTTTTTCTCTATCGGTGGTGTATAAAATTTTGTGCAAAAAATATTGTTTATGGACTTTTGAGTGAAAAATCGTTTTTCATAATGGCGGACTCGTTTGGGCTTGAGTTTTCGACTGGCGAAGCCATCAATTGAATAAGCGCTAAAGATAGTTTTGGGAGGAAGGTAGAGTATTCAGTTGGATGCAAAAAAAAATGCAAACATTTTTTTCTTTTGAAATTCATTGAGAAACATTGCTTATGTTAAATATTAATGAATGATAAAATGCTCAATTAAATTGCTGAAAAATTGTAGCTGAGTGTGTGTGTGTGGTATGCCCGTCGTTACTAATAAATTAACCTTCAATTTTCATTCTTGCTTCTCTGCAGATTTTACTGGCAACATCGCGCTCTATTTATTTTTATAAAAGTTATTTTAAATAATTTTCAACAAATATTCCACAAAATATATTTTAAACAAAAATTTTAACCAAACTGAGTTGGTGGTAGTGAGAAAATATGAGTGGACGTGGTAGTCGAAAACGGGGTAGGCCCCCGAAGACGCCTAATGAGCGCGCTGGAACCAAATTTAATTATCAGCTGTTGAAGAAACCAAAATATTTGAGCAAAGCTAGTGATTCTCAGCTGAGCACTCCTTCCGCTTCGCGAGCATCTTCCCCCCCAGGAAAGTGATGGCAGCCGGAGCTATAATCGGAAATCCACCAGTAAGAGCACCAGGGGTGGCAGATCACGTAAATCAACAAGCAGCACGGCTAATGTTAGTCGAAGAGGAGGTAATTGAATCGTAAACAAACCTTTTGTTTACATTTTCTTGTACTTGTAGTATAATAGTATAATATCACATGCAGTCACCTTTTGGGTGCAATTTTATGATGATTATCCTTAAATTCTCTGGGAAGAGTTTTTTTTTGCTTCTCTAATAGTATGGGATATAATTTTCTTCAAACATTTAAGGCACATAATCAACTTTAAGCATTTTTTAGAACATCGCCCATACATACATAATATGTACATACATTGGATCCACCATATGCCGGAGATACAAAGATATATTATTTGGCCCTATTGGGAATTTCACATGAACAAATATTCCCAAAAATTATAAAGCAAAACAAAAACGATGTTTCCCAATTTGTTCTTGTTTGGCAGGCTAAATTATGAGAACGATTTATTCACATGGAATTGGAGATAGGGCTGATTTACTACTTATTCCATTTACGGTAATAAAAATTAATTTATAAGTTAGTTTCGAAGTTATCCCGTTCGTATAGATCCCAGTAGATAATTTCAGGAGTTAAAAGCCCTTCTGAAAGGCCTTCCTGAGAGTCAAGAGGCCTTCCACTCTACATTCCTTTCTTTTTTGTATGGAGTGCACAAAACAGCATTCATACCTTTTACCAACATTTGTATGTATGTACATATCTGCAGCGAGTATTGCTAAATACTTATATGGTCATATAAAATATTTGTTCCTGCTAAAAGATTTGGGCAGTGTCTACACACACGTGCCACGGTAACTTTTACCGTAGATCCATGGTAAAATCTACGGTAAAATTACGTAGGCCGCGCTTAGGAATTATAACCCTTACCAATCGAAATTCTCCTTTCTGCCTGAACCTGCCTGAATAAAAAGGAAAATTTAAATTTTGTTATTTTTAAAAGGCTAGGAATAGGAATATAAAGATATAATCTCAAATAACACGTTTTACTAAAATTAATTTTAAAATAATTGTGCCTTCAAGGCATATCGATTTTTCAGTATTACTAATGTTAATGAGAATTTAAGATCCGACAAGGTACGACCTTCGCCCATTTGTTTAATGGATGAAACCTATTTTGTATGAAATTTAACGTGATAATAAATATTTCGCGAGTGGGTTGGCTGAAAAAATCCTGGCCAGGATATTTTTAATTAAATATTCAAAAATTATTATTTTTATTTTGCCTTAGAATTACATATGGCTCTTTTCGGCCTCGGCCTTGGTTAATGAACAAATTATATACTAATCGAAAGTATTAAGCCTATAGAACAGGGGTGGGCAAGGCCGAGGCCGAAAAGAGCCATATGTAAATTCTAAATGCTACAAAGAGCCAAAAAAATAAAAATTATTATTAGAAATGAAAAACATTAATTTTACTATTTTAATGTACGAAAGATAGATGTTAAAGAAAATTCAAAAGATCCCTTTGGCTAAATTTTCAAAATCTAGTTCCATCACAAAAGAAAAATATCAAAAATAGTACGCGAACATGAAATTTGCAGAAACTCACAAGTTAGACGAACATCTGATAGAAATTTCAAAAGTATAAAATTGAAAACAAATCCGAAGTCTTACAAGTTTAATTAGTCGCATTTTACTATTTTAACTTCCAAACCATCAAATTCAATTTAGAGATTCGCGTACATTCCAACCAGCTTTTATCTTGTTGGCAAATTGCTGTTGGGAAAATATCATTTTGCTGTCTTAATTTCCCCTACTTTGCAAGGTTTTTGCGTAAGCGACGCAAAAAGCTGATCGTTTTTATAACTTTCAATAATTCTCAGGTACGCGAATGCAACTAATTATGAACGGTATTTTGACTACGGATTTCACAGTAGAGTACAAGGACGCGCAGTTATAAGTTGTACCAAAAATTTAAAATATACGGCACGCAGCTGTTTTCAACAGCTGATATTTTACATCTGGTGCTTGTTGCCGGAAATCAAGGAAAGACAAAGCTTTATAGTGCATTTTCAGTGCCTTATCTTCTTTTACTTCCAAAAACTTCAACTCTTCTTCGCCTTTCTTAAAAAGGAGTATTTCGGATATTGTTAATTCATTCTCAATTGTGGCTGACTTCCAAAACGTCAATTGCTTTGCTTACGTACAAACTTACGTACGAACTACAGAATGTTGACAATGTACATTTTTCCAAAACGCATTCGAAAAGTTATCGAAACGCATCGCTAGAGCAGTCAGCGCATCAGAAACAAGTTGATGCTTGGTTTGTTTTTGGTTACCATTGGTGTTTTAAAAATGCAAAATTCAGAAAAATTGTTCATTTCTAAATGGAATATTTAAAATATTCAATGCAAGGCGAATTTATACAAGGTGGTGTTACTAGCTCAGCTGATTTTGTGTATGTGTTTTGCCGCACGGCTTCTGATATCAAATTGAAAAATTTTGTTTGAATTTCTACACACACTCTTACAGATTTTGACAGTTTATGCCGCCAAAGCAAAAACAAAATACATGTACATTTTTGTTTTTGTACTCCTGCTATCACCTTATATTAATTCGCCTTGATTCAATGTATGCAATGTGTCGCAACTCTGCATATATAAAAAGTTTGAATACCGCAGTATAACAGTTTCCAAACATTGTATTGACACGTTTTGGAAGTCAGCCTCATGGTTGCCACTCGCCAACATTTTTTTCTACGAAAATCTCTTAAGAAAAGTTACCAAATCTTCACTACCAAAATCTGCACTTCTTCACTGAGAAAAAAATATACTGAATAAAATTGCTATATTTCTCAACAAAAGTGTGTATACTTACAGCCAGTTTATGTGCATGTCGGTAGGAGGGTCTAGTAAAAAGCACGCGCCATTTTTGTGTGTGCCGGAATAATTAAAACGATTTCAAAAAATGTGAGATGGTAGAATTCAAAATGTATCGCAAAAATTCGAAAGTTGTTTTAGAAGTGCAGCCCTTGGTGCTGCCACTGTAATTCAAATATTTCCAGTATGTATTCGAATATGAGATGACTCTTATTTGTATGTGTATGTGTCAAAAGATGTGTCCGAGTTGGATAATGAAGAAACAACCGCGAAACTACTTGAAAATATGTTAAGATGATATCAGAACGGAGTTAAGGAAATTAAACAAACAGAATGAAACTGCTATGAAGAAGTACACGGAGGTTGAGAAAAGAGTTAGCGCTCTTGATACCCGATCAGTTGTTCCACATAACATTATAGCCGAGATTAATAGCCAGAAAAAAAGGGAGAGGAACGCTATAGCCCGTTCCAGAATCGATGAAAGCTGTGCCGACAGACTGAAAGATGATCGCGAGCAATTAGCAGCAGCATTTCCGCAAGTAATACGTGAGACACTACCGACCTTGGAACTGCGCAGACTATGTCGTTCGCCGGTCCCGGTCGTCGCATAGTAATTGAAAAACCGTAGGAGGATGGGGCCAAGTTGCTGTGGAAATCTAACGCTCCAACCAAACAACAGTGATAAATCTATCTTCTATATTAAATATAGAAAAACTACTTACGGCCTGAATGTACCGATTCATAAGTTTATGTCGCTATTTAATGTTATATCTTCGCGAGTTGATATCGACATGACCAGAGAGTCATTCAAAAATTACTTAGAACATTATTTTATGAATTAAATTTGTTTCCTACCCTTAATTCTTATAAACTTATACCTTAATGTTATTATGTTCAATTATGTACCATCGAAACCTGTGAGGGCTAAGCCCAGTAGGTTGAACTTGAATAAATAAATTGAAAACAATCATCCGGAGCAAATCTTTGTGAAAATCAAGGGCTCAAAAACTAGTATTATTGTCGGTAGTGTATGCATCCCACCCCGTTCTTCAAGTGATGTATGCCAGGCTCATATAGCAACATTGACAACTTAACAATATACCAAATGCATATGGTCAACTTTTGGACCTATGTTTCAGTAATATCGAAGCTGTGGTTGATAAACGATTCCTGTTGTTACCGAAGATCTGTACCACCCCGGCTTAAATGTTAATATCCACTTTAGCTCCAGTTTGAAGGTAAACTCTCCCCTTGTATACTGCTTTAAAAAAGCTGACTATATCGCACTCAATCGACTCTTCTTGGAAAACCAATTGGATCAACCTTTATAAGCTAAATACACTCGATGAAATGGTAAACCTGTTTTATGAAATAGTTTTTGATGGTATGGTATCGCTCGTTTTGTTCCGATTTTTAATAAGAAGCACAACAAATACCCCTTATAGTTTACTAGACGACTAATAAATAAGATTAAGCTTAAGACGGCAGCACATGCTTATGATCAAAACTTTTTTATATGAAAAATATCCGCAACACCCTTCACAAAAAAAAAATTATTTATATGGAAAAAGTACATAACGCCGTGAGGAAAAAAATATCGAAAATCATATCGAATTTTTAGACATTTCATATTTACGTTCATTTTTTTTCTGGGGAATCGATGAAACCAAGATTATCTGAAAGTCTGGATTGTATATAAAAAAGTAATTTTTAAGTTTTGTCCGGTTGGCGATCTTATTCGTTTTTTTTTTTTGTTTTCAATTTGATGGTGGTCGCAGCGCAGCTGAAATTGATTTAAATGTAAATATTTATACGATTAAAGTCTCCTCTGTGGGCGTTGGGTCCGAGAAATCTCAATTTGCAGTTTTATTTTTATCGAAAACGGCCGCAGCGTGCGCTTTGGCGCAAAAAAACATGGTAGGAACATGGTGGAAAGTGCAAACAATGTTTCTCAACATTGTTGCTAAACAATGTTACTTCATTTTCTATTGCACCAAAGCGTACTCAGCGGCCGTTTTTGATAGAACTAAATTGCAAATTCAGATTAATCGGACCCCAAATGCCTGGGAAAACTAAGAAATTTCATATACTAAAATTAAATGGGCTATATAAATATAAAACTGCATACTTGATTTTTTTTTAATTCTTATTAAAAAGTTTGCAATGTTGATGAAATGTTGCAGATTTTTCAATTCCGTACACAGTTTCATACCAGGATGTTGTTTAAAATATAAGCCATATTTTATTAAAAAATTAAGCAAAATTTATTAGTATGAAAAACACTGCGATAACTAAAAAAAGAAACCATATTGCATTGTTAACTGATTCATATTTATGGGGAAATTTTACTATAAAAATGTATAAACGCAAATATTATGTTATAATACAATTGTTTAGACATTCTTCAAGAATTTTATTGGTACATTGGCGGTCAAAATAATAGCAGCAAAATTCAAAATGATACTGTTGGCAACTTATCTTTATTTATTTACTGTTAATAATTTTCACTTAAAATGTGGGTCGGATCTATATCAGATACCACATAAATAAAAGTTTTGAAGTTTACAAAAACTATTTAAACTTAAAAGATGTTCATCAAACTTTTTGTATATATATGTATGTAGGTCGACCCATATTTAAAATGAAAATTATTTACAATAAATAAATAAAGATAAGTTGTAAGTGTTCACGTGTTGATTTTTTTTTTTTTAATATTCACAATGTTTTTTATTTTTATTTTTTAATGAAAATATTGTCCATGCTTTAACCAAAACCATATTAATCAAAGTGTAAAAACTTTACAAAAAATTTTTATCAACATTTTTGATGGAGCGCAGAGTTAATTTTAAACATCGGTCCTTCGACCGATTATATTCCTGATATTTATAAATGATACTTTTTCTGTAATAAAATATTCAAAACTTTCAATAAAACCGTTGAGATTAATTAATAAAAACGAAATGATTCCGAATCGATATCAGGAATAAAAATTCTCCTAAATTTAAAGACGACTGTAGCGCTCGTATGTTTTTCTAACTTATTTATGATTACGGGCTAAAGCCAACAAATATTCTTATAGATAATAATACTTGGTTTTGTTTCCATATTCAAGGTTATCAATACAGTAGGAATTGTAAATAATGTTACCTTTTTTCTTTACAGGATATGAATCCGAGTACCATTATGGCTCAGATTTTGGTGATTCGAGTGAGAAGAGTGATATAGATGACGAATTACTTTGCTCTGCAACAGATGAAGAGGAAAGTCTGGATGCGGCAAATGAGAGTGAATCTGAATTCTCTGTATGCAGTTTTACACAAAATGGTCTTGGTCGTCCACCGCGACCACCAAGTCCTGATCCAATTTGGTTACAAGATCGTGAATACGATCCACTAGAAATGCCAGACTCTTCGGAAGATTTATTAATGAAAAATGAATTGTTACTTAAGTCTTTGAGTATTTATGAAGTTTTAAGAAGATTTCGTCATCTGGTACGCTTGTCACCATTCCGTTTTGAAGACTTTTGTGCCGCTTTGGCTAGTGATGAACAAAGCGCACTTATTGCTGAAGTACACATTATGTTATTGAAAGCTATTTTGCGTGAAGAAGATGTGCAAGGGACACACTTTGGACCGCTCGATCAGAAAGATACAGTCAATATTAGTTTATATCTGATTGATGGCATTACCTGGCCGGAAGTACTACGCAGCTATGTAGAAAGTGATACAATTTTCAGTCGTGAAGTATATAATATATTATGTGCTGGTGATTACCCATTTACAGGGGTAACCGATCGCGTAATAGTTTTACAATTTTTGACCAATCAATTTTTAACAACGAATGCTGTTCGTGATGTAATGTTGCAAGAGGGGCCAATACACTATGATGATCATTGCCGTATTTGCCATAGATTAGGTGATTTGTTATGTTGCGAAACATGTCCAGCCGTGTATCATTTGGAGTGCGTAGATCCACCGCTGAATGATGTGCCAACCGAGGATTGGCAATGCAATTTGTGTAAGTCACATAAGGTTAGCGGAGTTGTTGACTGTGTGTTGCCACAAGAGAAACAAGGTGTGCTTATAAGACACGAAATATTAGGCTTGGATAGGCACGGACGTAAATTTTGGTTCATTGCACGTAGAATATTTGTCGAAGGCCAGCCTGAATATGATAATGGCAAAATTTGGTACTACAGTACAGAATCAAAATTAGAGCAATTACTAAGCCTTTTAGACAAAGACGATTTGGAATCTGGGCTGTATAATCAATTGACAGAACGGAAGGATGAGATTATACGTCAAATGAAATTGACAGAGTCTATTACGAAGGAACAAAACAAGTACCAAAGGCTATCATATATTGACGAGGAAAACAAGAAGACATGGGCTTTGCTCCGTGGTACTGAGGAGGAAGATGCACAAATGAATGAAAGCGGCACAGAAAATAAGATGATGACACGTCTGAAAACCAGTCAAAATGCAAACGATCTCACGCACTTCAAACTAGGTATGGAGCATGGTTTTAAGAACTACGTAAATCAATACACATCAAATCAGATTGCTTTGAATAAACCGCAGCGCAACGAAGAGCGCGATAAGCGCCGTCACTTGTCACATAAATTTTCACTCACCACAGCCTCAGAATTTAAATGGATCGGTGTTACGATGGGCAGTTTGGATAGTATCACTCAAACTTTGCGACAGACACTACTCAACTTTGAAGAAAGCGTACCTTCGTCGTTTATGATACCGAATTGGCGCCTCCTCAAATGGAAATGGCGCAGGACAGTAGGTGATGCGCGTCGTCCAACAGAATTCGTCGTAGTATTACTACTACTCCAAGCATCACTTAAAAATGTGATCTTTGCCAATGTTTGGCATGAACAACTAGGCCATCTGACATTGTGCCGCATAACTTCGTCAGAGCGTGAAGAACGCAAGAAAATGGAGAAGCGTGAAAAACGCGAACGTGACGATGAGGAGGAACGGAATCGTCTCGCTTTCAACTATATAAAATACTCCTTAGGACTAAAGCATCAGGTATGGAAACAGAAAGGTGAAGAATACCGTATACACGGTCAGTGGGGTTGGATGTGGCTATCGACGAGTCGTCGTTGCGGCGTCGGCGGTGGCAGCAGACGACGTGCCTCATATCGGCACGGGCTGGCTATACCGCCCGTGAAGGTGAATGTACACTTCACAAAAGGCAGCGATGTGGATGAAATAGTTAGCGTAGATCTACGCACACACAAATTCCTACTGCAATGCAGCGCGGCAGTTAAGCAAGGCGCCGATTATTATTACTTACAGAAGTTTAGAGATGTGCAAATACTAGACTTCGATAGCGATGATGCAGCCGATGGCGACGCTGGCGCAGTAAATAATAATATTGGTACAATTGATGTTTCCAAGTCGTTAGCTATGCCCGGCAGACTAATGTACCCGAAAATTGCGCGTAAAAGCCGACTCGACGACTTGCTTGCACGACGATTGGAATTGAAGCAAGCCGAGGAAGAATTGGCAGTAAAAACTGAGAAGGATGCGGATGATTCACCGACAATTACCGCCACAGAGGCGGATGATACAAAGGCGGAACCAAACAGGAAGGCGGCCAAACGAACATTCCTAGAGCGTCGTCTAATGGATATACAATATGTACAGCAGAAGAACGCACCTAGTAATGATGTTAATCTGGACTTGATTAATTCGCTAGCAAAGAAAATTCAAACAGTTCGCCTGCAATTCAGTCAGTTAAATAGATTCGCCAAGCAATATCGTTGCTACACAAAAGAGTGCAACACCAATTCCAATGCAGTTTCACAAATAACACAAAACACTTGCTATTCACCACTATGCCTCCAGAAAGCACGCGCTAAGAAAGAGTTGTTGCTTTTGTTGCGCAAAGCACACATTGCTGGCAAAGGCTCCAAGGAAACAGTAGCTGCAATATTGGGCGCGGTGAAAAAGCCGTCGATACTGGAGCAAAAACTTACTGAGGGTAAAAAGGATGCATCACTCATGTTGGATGAGGCCGAGGATTGTCGCTGGTTGATCGATGAAAGCCCATTGGATTTGGTGCAAGATTGGGAACATGCACGCACTGTAGCAGTGCCATACGATAAAAAGCTCTTGCGTGATTGTTACATATCGAAGCAAGAAGAAAACTCTGCGACCGCCGCCGGTAATGTAGTAAAGGAGGAAAACCAGGGCACCAGCGATGGTGCTGGTACTACAGATGAGCGCATGGAATTCATTGATAGCATCGATGTATGCAGCAATGTGGAGATCGAGAGCTCTGAGACAACCAACGATGACTCGCTGGCTGCGCTTACGGCAGGCAACGATGCGTCGTTGGGCATGGACGCTTCACTCGCTAGAAAATGCAAGAAGTCGCAAAAGGCGCGCAACAGCAAGTCGTACATCGGCACCAAGGATGTGCTCAATCAAACCTATGAAAAACAAACGACAGCATCGAATATCAAACAAAATCGAAGATTTCCCACACAGCCGCGCGTCACAAAACGCGAAGATGTTACAAAATATGAAAAAGAATACTACGCGAATGGCAAGGAGCGTTTGTATGCAGCGGAATCACCACGTGGTCGCATCTACCTGTGGCGTGAAGCGGCCCAATTACAACAAGATCACACTCAACCCAAGGTGGAGGAGGGGAAAACGCACGAGCAATCAAAGAACACACCCATCGGTTCAACATATCCCCTCACATCGCAATTCCTAACACACAAGCTGAATATGAGCTTACTGGTGTTGGCGCCGTACGAGGTAAAGAAATTGGCGCGTTTGGGTGGCAAGGTGTCCACTAATGGCTTTCATCATTTGGCCAAGAACAATTCTGTTTGGCCATATCCATGTTCGCGTCCGCTTTTCAAAACCTGCTGGTCATTTCGTACCAGCAAAGCAACGACGCTGGCTGCTATCGCCTTACAGTTGCGCATACTTTGGTGTTGTTTACGCTGGGATGATATGATAGCCAAACCCCCATCAGCAGATGGTAAACATCAAGTGACTAGTGACACGGAGATTGTTACGCAGGAGTTATTGAAGCTGCGTCATTTGGGACGTTACGGCGAACGGACGCAGTATTTGCGACGCAAAGTCGTTGTGCCACTGGAGGTGCCCAAAACCATACGAGGTAAGTTTGAAGAGCTTTATGTGTTCAAATCATTTGCAACTGCATTTATTAGGATTTTTTTTTTTGTTTGAATGGTTATGCAATACATACAGTGGAGGGGGCATATAATTAATGACACGGCTTGTTTTCAAGTTTTGACAATCTTTTACAAAAATATAGTTCATACTAAAACGAAATTATGAACAATTTTCTACCTATTCCGAACGCTGAGTAGATTCAGTTTAGTGTAGTATTTGTGCGTTAGCATACCATTTTGCTGTTGATATATGGTCAAGTGGTTCCGAAAGTGAAAACAAAAACATTCCTATAGTGTATCGGTATCGAGAGAGAATGAACACTTTCTTCCTGAGAGACGCAGAATTTGTGGAAAGGTTCAGACTGAATCGAGAATAGGCCCAGTAATCGCGAATAAAACAATTCGATGCTATGAAATAATGCAACTTTTTCAACATTATTTGTTTTGCAGCTATATTTAATTAATAATATATGTTTTATTTTTCGCCGCAAGTGGTATACGTTCGTTGAAGGCAAATGATCGTAATAGAGCTCTTGCTAATAGGGAGACGATAGGCCTCAATAATGATAGTATACAAGATTGCGCATTCCTGCGGGTGATGACGTCAATTTCGCAACGAATAGAGTAGATGGAGGAGAAAAAAAGGCGGCGGCCGCCATTTGTAAACAAATCGTAGTTGTGTTCATCTACTTTTTGAACAGAAAATTGAAGATCGAAGAAAAATTTAATATTACGCCCAGAAATAGCGAAATAGAGAATAATGAAACACTAAGCTGGTAGAAATTAGTAACGCGAGACATGCAGCCTCATTGCATAAGTCGTAAATTAGGCTAAATTGTACGACTCGACAATATTGGCATTGTCTCCTGTCTTGCCGAAATAAGTAAACGACGAAAAGCGTCGGAAACTATACAGTGCTGCCAAGTTTTTCCGTTTTAATACACTAGTCGAGTGTAAATTTTAGGCAATGACGTGATTCGCATTCTACACGACTCTCGCAATGAGGGTGATTATCTTATTAAATTGAGTTTTAGACATTCGATACGATACTAGGGTTCTGGTACTCGATTCCAAAAAATATCGCTTTAAAACTATCGAGTAAAAAATATATGTATAGAATGCCAGAAGTATCGATATGGTATCGTATCGTATCGAAATTCGTGTCCCTACTCCGTCATCATCGACTGCGGGCTCGGGTTCTTCTCCACAACTTTCCGTGCTGCTACCATTTAGTAGGGCGGAAGACTGTTCCCTCCATAATTTAAGTACGCTCTGGACATCAGTTACTAGGTCGGCATTATTGTTCTTACAGGAGTACGCCCCGGTCTTTAAACCTTCCGTAAGTCGCCTAATTCTCTGGTAAAATTTTCCGGCATTCTTCTTTTCGGCCAGCATTTCAAGCTCTTCGCACTCACGTATTTCGGCCTCTCTTATTGCGGCAAATACGTCTCGCTTTCCTCTTCAGATCCCTATAGCGGTGTCACATCGCGCGCGTTGCGCCCGATCGCAGCGTGGCCCTGTAGGTGGCATCTTTTTTCTCTGCAGCTTCCTGACACTCCTCATCGTACCAGTTGTTCTTTCGGGCTCGCTGAAATCCGACTACTTCTTCGGCGGCGGTACTTAATGAGCGGGAAATGTGGTTCCACTGCTCGCATATGTCGGTTTGCTGAAGAGTGCTCTCTGAGAGCAGGTGTGAGAATCGAGTAGCGAAAGCGCTGGCTGTCTGTTGTGATTGCAGCTTTTCGACGTTAAGCTTTCCTTGCATATTTGGGCGCACATTTTTTGCTGCACTGAGGCGGGTGCGTATCTTGGCTGCAACACGATAGTGGTCCGAGTCGATGTTTGGGCCTCGGAGTGTGCGTACGTCTAAAACACTGGAAGCGTACCTTCCGTCTATCACAACATGATCGATTTGGTTTCTCGTTTTTCGATCCGGAGACAGCCACGTAGCTTGATGGATCTTTTTATGCTTGAACCTAGTACTGCATACTGCCATGTTTCGGACCCGGACGTTTCGTCGTGGAGGCTGAATTTTCCGACGGTGGTTCCAAAGATCCCTTCTTTGCCCACCCTGACATTGAAGTCGCCAAGCACGATTTTGATATCATGAAGGGGGCAGCGCTCGTATGTGCGCTCCAAGCGCTCATAGAAGAGATCCTTGGATGCCTCATCCTTCTCTTCCGTCGGGGAATGGGCGCAGATGAGCGAGATGTTGAAGAATCTCGCTTTGATGTGGATTGTGGCTAGACGCTCGTCCAAAGGGGCGAACGACAGTACTCGGCGACGGAGTCTCTCTCCCACCACAAATACAACACCGAATTTTCGCTCCTTTACGTGGCAACTGTATTAGACGTCGCAAGGCCCCAGACATTGCTTGCCTTGCCCCGTCCAACGCATTTCTTGGATGGCGGTGATGTCAGCTTTTGTCCTTAAGAGGACATCAACCAGCCGGGCAGAGGCACTTTCTCCATTAAGGGTCCGGGCATTCCAGGTGCATGCCTTCAAATCGTAGTCCTTTAAACGTTTGCCGTGGTCGTCATCATAAGGGGGGTCTCATCCGAGGCTTTACCTTGCTTCTTCACTGGAAGTGGTTTTTACGTGGCGGGTCCCAAGCCCAGCGCACAACCCATTGCTGGGACGGGGGTGGTTTCGCAACCAAATACACGTTTATATAGCGAGCCGCTTGCTCTAAGCAGACACCCGCTTGCAGCCGCACCTACTGGTGAACAGACGCTGCAGACTTCAATGAGCCCTTAAACCGAATAAGTCGGAGTGGCCCCACCGAAGCTCCCTCTCTTTCTGCCGTGACCCAAGGCTCCACTCGGATTGGTTACCGCATCTCGCACATGTGTTGCTCGCGTTGCCCAGAGTGCGCGAACGAGGACGCAAGAGTCGGGATTGAGTATAGCCGTGCAACTGTAACTGCATACCCAGCGCAACGACTATACCCCAACAGTAACTATTTGCTAGTAAGAAGATGGCATGATGCTTTATGTAATTCACATTACCGAAAGAATTGTGGGTGGTGGTTTTAGAGTTGCAATTGACAAAATACATAAACCTATTTAAATATATATTAAGATGGGAAATACTATTTTTCTTAGAAATTTGCGTCGGAAAATAACAGATTAATCAACTGTTCATAAAACTTGCACCTTCTTGCTGGTTTTGCATTTTCGTACTTTCTTGCATATTTCTCTCACTGGGAGTAAATATTGGCTTACTCTCCGAAATTCGGTTACTGGCAAGCTACTGGATATTTTTTGCTGGGGACTACGAAAACACAACTGATATGATCCATATCGATATTTTTGCCATTCGATACATTTTACTCGATAGTTTTCAAACAATTTTTTTGGAATCGAATACCAGAATCCTTGTATCGTATCGAATCGCAAAGGTGCATTACAAAGTTATTGTAATTTATAATATATTGTACTTTATATTAAACATAAATGTCTTTTATTAAATTCTTTTTGAGGAAAAGTACATATGGGCATTTCCAATCTGGCGTGGCGTGACAAAATGTTAAAAAATTAATTGAAAACGTCAAGATTTTAAAACTCTGGGAATTGGTCAACACTATTTGTAGTAATATTTGAAATATTTAAGGCTGATTTTCCAAGTTCCAAAATGTAAAAATTTTTTCCTGTTTTTTTAAACAACCGAAGTATCTGATGTCACGTTGAATGACATTACGCTACTATAATCTCCATTAAAACTTGTTTTGTTAATATTGTTTTTTAAACTAATTTTTATGTCTAATATATTTTTTATTTTGACTACAGCGCACTCTATCGGTTCCATTTATTGCAAATTTATGTCGTACTATGGCCTACCGCGGGAAACGCCCATATGTCTATACTTTGGAATTGATATGTAAAACAATATTGATATATTTTGGGCTTTAGAATGTCCAATATTCAGATTTAATATTTTGAGTTTTGTATCGATATTCGGACTATCGATTATTTTTATCCCGATAATAATGGGTACCCGAAATGGGATTATCCGGAATGTATAAAGAAACGCAGCCATTGTGTTATAAGAAACTATAGAACTTGTAGCTACAAGCGAATCACTAATAACTTGTCGTCGCCTGGATAAAAGATTGTCGTATGTTTATTTCGGTAGGTTGTGGGAAATCGCGATTGAAGTTTGGATTACAATTTCTCAAAAACGCGAAGATAGATTTTCTCAATATCTTGGAAACTTAAGGAGATATCTAAAAACTCATAACACCAATCAAAAGAACTTATTTTAAAATATATAACAGCATGTAGAACTAAAAATCGTCAAAATGGCGCTTACGACAATCTTTTACCCAGGCGACGTGGTATACTTGTTACAATTGTAAACATTGTAGAACAGGCCCCAGGTAGTAGCAGCAGAGCAACTGTTTGAGATTTTATTTTTTTATTTTTTTTTTCAAAATATGTGGTCTTTAAATTGTCAAATATTGTTAACTTTTTATACAAATGTTTTAATTGTCAAAATGTATCTTCGAATAAGCGTTTGAAACCCAGCCTTTGGAAGATTTGCTTAACTAAGGAGCGTAAACGCTGATTATTGGAATGAAACAAATTTACAAAGAACAAAATTCGCACCAATTTTTAATTTTATTTTTATTTAATTTTTATTCCATTTTTTTTTTAATTTTTATTCCATTTTTTTTTTTAATTTTTATTTATATTTCACGTGGCCCACTATGGTAAGAGGCCATGAGGGCCAGAGTATCCTATCTGACATTTCAACAGTTGAGGTGCACCTCAAAATACATTACTACAATCGGAAGGGTAATAGCCCGAGGCACGTCCTTTTAGTATTCATTTGTCAGAAGCATCACGTAGGCGCAATGAACTGTTTAGGTAAAGACCGCTATAATTTTTTATAGATCCTTTCTCATATTATTAAGAAAAATTTTAAGATAGGCTCCTTTGGCCCTCATGGCCTCATACGTATTTAAAAAAGTATAAAATTTTTGGACACCTTAGATCACAGAACCAACAACAATATACACATGGCCAAAAGTTGTAAAGAAACCGTATCCCTAGTTATGTGGTCACCACTGTATATATATGTAAGTAATTTTGCACATCTCCTTGGAGGGAGTTAGACTCATTGGATTTTTTTTTCTGAAATGCTGAAAAAAACCTTAAAATTAAAAATTACATGAACAAATCACACCAAGTAAAACTTCAATGCAAAATAATAAATCATAAAAATGAGGCAGATATAAATAAAATTGTGCCAAAAAAAGCACATCTCAAGCAACTGGTACCAAACCGGATATAAAGCACGTTTGTATAGCATTTTCAGTTTTAATGAAACCATTTTCAAATTAAATGAAACCTTTTTTAGATAAAGCGAAACCTTTTTCGAATTAAATGAAACCTTTTTCAGATTCAATGAAACTTTATTCAAATTAAATTAAACTTTTCAAATGAAATGTAACATTCTTAAAAGAAAGTTCCATTTAATTTTAATAAAGTTTCATTGAATCTGAAAAAGGTTTCATTTAATTTGAAAAAAATTTCGCTTTATCTGAAAGGGGTTTAATTTAATTTGAAAATGGTTTCGCTTGACCGGAAGAAGATTTCATTTCATTTCAAAAAGATTTCACTTTGTTTGAAAATGGTTTCATTTAACTTGAAAAAAGTTTCACTTAAACTGAAAATGCTATATATACAAACATGTGCAAAGCTGTATGTGTAAACATTTCATATCAGAAATTGTTTATGCACAGCACTTCTCAACTGCCCCAGAAAAAAACCTATTAAAGTTGTTAATTGCTGGCTCACCAAATAATCAAGCTCAACACTCCCGCTTGATGCATCACAACTGCTCCGGAGTTGTCTCATGGGGCTCTGTATGGCTTTCAACATACAGATGTGGAACAAGAGTTCCCATCGATCACATCGCCTATCGAATTTTTCGAACATACATAAATACATAACCGGTGCTCGACAATCTCGCTTTGTGCATCCCCGAAAACTCCTCCGGAGTGTTCTAAACGGCACAACTGCAGCGCTATATTGAAATGAAGCAAATTAATAAACGGAAAAGGTAAAAATGAATAAATATATTGGAAATAATAATAATAAATAAACTGGAAAACAAAAAATTATACATAAAAATTCAATCGAATATTTTTTTTTTGGGTTTTGGGTTGGTTGGCAGGTTTATTCCTCCTGGTGCTACACGATCTTGCAGCTAGTATCTTTTTAATATCGACAAGTTGAGTGAATCGAATAATTAAAGATTAAATAAAATCAAAGAAATTAAAAACCTTAAGTAGGTTAAAAGTAAAAAAATGTTTTTTTCAAACAATCTTTCTAAATATGAACCAAATCAGACCATAAAAACAAATGTCCCAAATATTTTGACTTCTGCGCCACCTATCGGATACGTGTTTGAAGTTTCAAGTCTAGCTCATCGGGAAGTTGGTGAAATATTCATTTCAAATTCCAGCAGATACATATTTTTACTAAAATAAATAAATCAAAAAATAACAAAATAAAACAGATAAAAAAAAAAGAAATCAAAAATAAATAAAAATACTGGAAAAATAACAAGTAAATGCAAGATAATAAATTTATACATACATACTTGTGTTTAAATAGTCATTAATTAACAAGGAAAGTAGTTAATAAATTCGTAAAATAAAACTACAAATTCATAACCTTATTTTTGTTTAAAGAAATAAGATTTAAAATATTGCATTATTTGTGGTTATTCGAGTCTTACAGTGAATTGGTTTGACCTAATGTGACCTCTCTCAATTAGTTAACCTTCAAACACTTCGAAAACATAAAAAGTCCTTATTAGTGATGATTTTTCTAAGATTTTTTTTTTATAAATATTTCCAAAAACAGAAGTCACATCCATTCGTTCTGGTCTTCGAAAACGCAAACGTGCCGAATCGCCACAACCAACTGAACCGCAAGTAACTGAAGAGTGGGTAGAAGAAGATAAATTAGAATTATGGGAGATTAAACTAATGGGTGAGCGTCAGGAAAAGAGCCGCCAGGCAGCCATGACACGTTCAGTTGCCTTGCGTCAAGCTGCAGAACAAGCTAATGCTTCGCCATCGTCCTCTTCAGCATCCAGTTCGGGTTCGAATGGATCTATAACTAAAGTTGTAATAACAGCAAAGAGTAGTGAGGAGGTAAAGGAGAAAATGGAGCACCAATTGAAATTGCAACGTGCTGCGCATCAACAGAAGAAGAACCCAGATAATACTAAAGTGCAGACGCAAGGTACAGTGTTTGCAAAAAAAAAAAATATATATATATAAGTAATTACAATGCTTTTCAACTTAAATTTCAGTAAAAGGTCAAGTAATTGGTAGTCGGCGTGTCATTGTCAAGAATCCCGATGGCACCACTCGCATCATACAACAGGCCATCACATCCCCTGCTGTTGGCGCACAAAAGACAACTAATACCGTTACACAAGCTAAAACTGCGTCAAGCACTGAAAATGCAACAGGCAGCGCTGCACAAACGCAGCAGCAGCAAACCCCTACTCCGCAACAGCATAAAGTGCAAATCATACGTGGCCCAGATGGTAAAGTAAGTGTAAGAGGATTAAATCCCGGTCAGCAATTGATACAAATGCCCGATGGCAAACTGCATGTGCTGACAACAACCACAACAGCAGCAGCATCAACAGGCGGCACGCAAGGTTGGTTACATATAAAGTTGAATAGAATTTGTAAATACATATTATTGTGTTGATATTAATTTGATGAAAAAACATTAAAGCATAAATTTGAAGTAATATAAATAAATAAATAATTTGTTGATATATTTATTTTTAACTTTTCATTGCAGGTGTTGTCGCAAAGAAATTACCAGTGAAACCAGCCACGCCCACGAACTCCCCTACCGTCGTCAAGCAAATAACGGTCAAGCCAATACAGAAGACGGTGCCAGTACAAAGTACCCCAAAGGTATGTAGCGCAATACCGGATTTTTTGCTTTATATAAAAGAAAAATTTAAAGTAAAAAATGTATGCTTCTTTATTTGCATAGAGCAACGCATTATTAAAAAAACGTTTTAATCAGATTCTTATCAAAATTTACAATTTTGTTTTCTATCCTCTACAATCATTCCTCTCAGACCGTTGTCACATCTGTAAATCCCCAGCCTAAGCCTGCTACTCCTAAGGCGGTTGCACAAGTTATAAACCAACATGTTGCCGTTACTCCATCACCTACTGTTCAAAAGGTTATTACACAAACCATACCTTCGGGCAATACAATAAATACTGGCACGCCAACTACTACGAAAATAACTACAAACTCGCAAGGTATTCCACAATTTATTGTCCAACCTGGACAGAAGTTGTTAATGGGTCAAAACCAACAAGGACAAAAAGTTCTAATAACCACCGGTGGACAACAATTGACTCAGCAGTCTGTGGTATCCAACTTGCAAAGCATACAGCAGGCACAACCGCAACAGCAACAGCAACAACAGATTATAGTCAACCAATCGCCAACTACAACAACCAATCCGACCAACACTACACCTCCACAAGCTGCCACACAAAAGGTTATACAACAAATTGTGAATACCAGTAATGTACAGCAACAAATTGTGATTGGTGGCCAGCGTATTATATTGAGTCCAGGTCAAACAATTGTCACACAAAGATCGGTGCCGCAAAATCAAACCGTACAAGTTGTGCAACAACAGCAACAACAGATCATACAATCCGCCCCCGCACAGCCGGCGCAACACCAACAAGTTATAGTCCAGGCGGCAAATCAACAACCTACTCTGACGCAGGTACAGCAGCCACAAACGCGCGTTGTCAAACAAATTGTAGTCCAACAACAACAGCAGCAGCAACAGCAACAGCAGGCCATACAAGCAACAAATAATCATATCGTTGAGCAAAGTACAGCGCCACAGCAAGTGCTAAAGGTACAACAGCAGCCACAGCAACAGCAAGCTACTGTTACACCACAAACCACAAATCAACAGCTGGTGGTGCAAAACTCTACACTTGCTCAACAGTTGGCACAAGGTAAACTACAGGTGGCCACCATAAACGGACAACAAGTCATTATACGACCGCTAGGCAATAATCAAGCACAAATTGTAGCGCATATTAAGACGCAAAGCGATGGCAATGCTCATATAATTACGAATAGTACTTTGGAAACGCCGCAATCATCACCGGAAAAAGCTGCTCCTGCCGTTGTGCAGCAACAGCAACTGCAGCAGGTACAGCAAAAAGTGCAACCGCAGCAGCAAATCATACAACGTACAACTATTGCGCAGCAGCAAATAACACAACAGCAGCCGCAATATATAAATCAAGATAGTGTACAGCAACAGCAGCCGCAGCCGCAGACGACGGCTACACCAACCAAGGCTATGACAATTGAGGAGAGTCTACTACAGGGTCAGCCGCCAGGTACGGTGATCAAGTGTGTCACAGCGCAAGTCATACAAACTGAACAAGGGCCGCGTATTGTGCTCCAAGGCTTGGTTGGCAATGATTTTACACAACAGCAGCTGGCACTGGTGCAACAGCAAGTGAAGCAGCAGCTTTTAAAAGGTACATGAAACAGCTATAGGCGTTTGTAAGTAATTTACTAGGGGGAAATTTTATTTATTTATTTATTTGTTTAATATCTTATAAATAAATTTATAAAATATTCTAAGGTGCAGGAAAACTATATAGGTCATAGTGCACCGGCGATGAATATACATTTGTATATCAATTAGATGTCGTGAATGATGTTTTGTAAGGAGAGGATGGTGATTATCTCAAATGCTTCTCCATAAAAATAATCTAAGTAAGCCGTGGAAACATTTGAAAAAGGAAATGAATTTTTGCAATTCAAAGTTGCGTTCCAGATGCTTCCGATATTCACGAAATTCACGATTTGCAGGAACAGCTGTTTTCCCCATTAATAAACCTTATGGGAGGTGGTCACCTGGAACGACTCCCTGTAAAAACCTGCAAATCGTGAAGCATCTGGAACGCAACTAAAACTTCCGCGGCAACCACAAAAATGCAATTACCAATATAGCAACTCAGTTGCCAGCTTTCAGGTGGCAGTTGCCATCTGTAATATAATTTCAGCGACTGCCAACGCAAAGAAAGTTCGATAGCCATCCGTAATCGACCCATAAAATATTCCAATATTTTTTCGACGTTAAATTTTTTTACTTTTTTATTTTACTCTCTAATACTGTTGTCAATCTTTTCTGTTTAGCGCAAGAATCCAGTGGCAAACAGGGCGTACTCGGACCAACTAAAATCTATTTGGCTGTCCAACCACCAAACGCTGTTTTGAACTCGCAACCGCCACCATTAACACCAGTACACCAATCAGCACATCAACAAGTGAGTAGTTGTTGAATTATGAGAAGAAAACAATTAAAAAGCTAGAGAGAAATCTTAAAGGAAATAGGAATATAAACCTTAATTTAAGTGCAAAAGTTTTCACTTTACAATTTACGTGCATATCTATCCTACATATGCATATATTATTTAATAGTATATACACAGAAGAAGCAGGCATTAGTGTTTTATTATTTATTACAAAGTAATATAATTTGCTACATATACACAGTTACTCCCCTATACAGTTAATGCATTTTTGAGATGTTGGTTATTAAAAATCAATATACATAACATTTTTAAAAGTAAGAATATACATATAAATAATACAACACAATTATTTCACAACTTCAATAGAAGGCTAGGTTTATGTGTTTATACTTTCGACATTATTTCTACCATATACTCCACTTAATTTCAATCACTTAAGCAATATAAAATAATTTTATTTAAAGTCGGGCGAAAGTGAATGTAAGATTTAACTTAGAGAAATTAACATTCCAAAAGTGCAACGTGAAAGTTTAAATGAAGCAGCAATAAGAGTTGAAGGTGATGGGCCTAAAATGCTGATATATTGAGAAGTGCTTATATGAATGATATAGCCGATGAAAATGCATTGTCTATTGTGTTGTATAATGTGTGGTTGACGCCAGGTCCTAAAAACTGACTTTGTTTTTAATCAAAAGTAACTTTCATTAAAAGAAAATGCTGCATTGTTATGATTTGAGTACAATATAACTAGTATCGTACTACATAGGTATCGTAATAATTGAGTTTTGTTAAAGAAATTACTTTTTAGTAATAAAAACACTTCTTCGGTATTTTGAAGGGTCGCACAGTGTAGTTATTTGCGATCCCTGACTACAGCTGCTGTTTTTTGCTCTAGCGTTTTCAATTCATCTCCACTTTTAGAGGCAACAACTAACCAAACTATAAACCGTAACAAGCTGGAAAACTTGATCCTCGAAGATATAACTCTTAACAAATTTTGACAGTGCAGCAAGCCTTTCGAGGTTTTAAATTTTTTTTTTAATTTTTGGTAATATACACTCCTAAATTTTTATATACTTAAAAGGTGTCCACACGAGGCGATTTTGCGTTCAAGTCACGCAGGGTTGCACGAAAAAAAAAGAAAAAATGGCTAAATGTTGGCTAGCGACCAACTTTGTTGAAAGCTATTAGTTGAAAGGCCGTTCAACCAAAAGTAGAATGCAAAGTCGAGCAATGCAAACGCCTTTTTATGGCGAATATTTTGATATTTTTTTTATATTTCGATATTTTTAGCCATTAAATTTTTTTTTTCGTGCACCCTGCGTGAGTTGAAATTAAAAGTTGAACGCAAATCGTCTGGTGCGAACGACTTTTTAACATTTTACACAATCCAAAACACAAACTATTAATGACGGCACAACTAAAATTAATTTTCTTGTTGATTTTGTCTCTAAACTGTCAAAAAAGGTAAACAAAATTTGACAGTTTAGAGTAAAATGGAAACAAAAGTGGCAATTCATAGACCAATTGAAAATAAATCAAAATTGCAACTGCTACCTATTCAATGTGCCATGGTTGATAACTAATAATTTGGTCAAGACAGCTTACATTTGCTTGTGAAATAGAAATCGAACAAACCTAACAGAGTTGCATGCGAATTTCGACTCAGATTTACATTGAATGAAGTACTAATCGAAAAATTAAAAGTTGACATTTTCAGCTCAATTAGCGCCTTAATCGAGAAATCGCTCAATTGCTGCCCGCCTGAATTTAGTATATCGTTACCTTTCTATAAAACGGCCGGGCTCTATTTAACAATTTGTTTCTTCAATGAATAATTATAAATCTATATAAAAACTAAATATCATCTGCTGCGATTTTTTTGCATTACACTGGTTTTTAAGAAATTAGTTTTTTTGATAAGTAGTTGATTTCAAATTCGATTAAGTAATCTAACGACTTTAATGCAGAGCTGAATTTCGAAAGAAATTTAGGGCCTTGGGTGTATTCGAGCAACAATTAATGCGGCAGTATTACTTTTTATGAAAGACCATCACGTTCTATGTGAAAACACGCGATCGAGAAACAAAATTTTGACAATCAGTTCAAATCAAATCGAACCCTAGTACGTCAAATGCAATACACAAAATTTTACTGCGCAATTTCTGCAGCTTTTCAGTAGAGCATCAGCAACAGAACATCAAGAAAGCAATAAGATTGCAATTTTGCGGTAATTATTATGTAACTCGAACCACACCCCTTTTTATATTAAGGTAACGAAACATATGCATATGTAATACTGACTTTTAAAAAAAGAGACAATGTATATAAATAAAACTGCAAAACTAAACAAAAAAAAAAAATACGAAATTTCAGGCGCTTTACTACTTATTACTTATTTAAGTGCAAAGCCTTTCAATTATGTTCGACAGAGTATTACAACTACTTAGCGTAGTACATGGGAGAAAATATAAATGCACATGTGTTTTTAATCGGCTAAGCACTGTATAGTTTTGTCTAAGATGTGTGTTTATTTTTAAATACAATTATAAAAAAAAATATATAGAAACAATAAAAAATACACATTGCTCAACACACATATATTATAAATATATTATTTCTCGTATTATTTCAATTGTTAATTACCATTAAAATTTATTATTAATTATTATTATTTTTAATTTTAAGCCTTAAAAGTATCAAATCGTTTTGTAATGTAAAGCGCTTTTTGCAATAAATTGACTTAATGATACCGAAAATTGTTTTAATTGTAATTTTCACATATTTTCGTTTTCTTAGTAATTAATAAAAATAAAGTGAAAAACTAAACTATATGAACTATAGAATGTCTAAAGCAAACAAAAAACCACGGAAAGAAACTAATACTATTAATAAAGTTTTGTAAATATTAAAGCACAAAAACAAAAAAAAAGTATTAATGTTTTGTTATTTATCAAAGCAAAAATTAATTAATTGACAGCATTTGTGTCGCACATTTGCGTTTATAACTGTTTTTACACGCCTCTTGTTTGTTGTATCTGAGTAAAAGTAAATGAATGAAACATTTGAAATGTGTAAAATTAAGTAAAATAGTATTAAAAACTTAGATACTCATATTCAGATTAGTTGGATGATTATTTGTAATTGGCCTTTGTGTTGACAAAAAGCGCTCGCTCAAATTGTAAACAATGAACTTAGCAAAAAAAAAATAATAATATGATAAATGTTAATAAATTGTACAAATGCAAAATGCAGCTTACTACTGCATCATTAAAACAAAAAAAAAAAAAGTAAAGCAAACAATTTTGAATCGGTTTGTAGCAACTTAAATCTAGAGTCAAAATTTTTAATGTGGCCATTCATGAAATCTTTAAAAAGTAAACTAAAATTGAAGAGATTAACCCAGCATGACGGCAAAGAGCAGTCAAAACAAAAATGCAACAAAAACGACAAACTGTAGAAAAAAGAGTGTATTCAAAAAATGAAGCAACTAAAAAACACAAAGGCTTAACCATAAATTAATCATCTCATCTAATCGAAAGAAAAAGATACACAAATTTTTATAATCATTTCGCGTTTTCATTTGCGCGCAGTCGAAAGCGAATTGTTCAAAAATGCTTAAAAATTTCATTTTATTTGTTTTCCCTCAAATACAACGCAATAACATGATATGAAATTTAGTACAATGAATTTTACTTTAAAAAAAAAAAACACGAAAAATGCTGCTTTTTAAAGTCATGTTTGTTGTTAATCTCTTCGCAAACTTTCTTAAAGGTTTCCTGGAATAAGTACTACAACTGATCCTTTAAAAACACAAGGTAGGTGCTGCGCTGTCAGGTATAATGATATTTGCTACTTGCTCAACAATACCGCATCTGCATGTATGTATGTATATACTATTTGCATTTTGCATTTTTACAATAAATATTCGTAAGTTAGATATCAAAAAGTAATGGTAGTTAAAAATTAAGTTAACTTGTAAATATTGAGTCTTATGTTGTTGTTGTAGCAGCAAAAAACCCCATAAGGTATTTAATGACTCTTGTGGCAACAATTGAGTGCTATGGTGGACTGAAAATTCTCTAAAAATTTAGAAAAGTGCCGAAAAAAACAAAAAAAATCGTTACGAGGTGCGAAATAACCCGACCCGTTGGTTAAGACTAGATATACGTTTCCTCCATTATTGCGAAAGATGCATAGCACCAACATTGTATTCAACAGCATTACAGCCAGCGCAAATAATTGACTCCCTCTATCAAAGAGCATTCCCTGTGCTTAGACCATTTTAGTGGTACTCCACCTGGCAATGGTCGTTATCAGTAGAGTGAAGCAAACCTCCATAATCTCATGATTGCTCTATATTGGCAACTCGACCTCCACCTCGTAAACTCAGCCAGATATTTTACTCTGCTTAGCTTCCGAATATCTGCCGCCAAAGCAAGAGCCACACTTTTTCACAAAGTATCGCTCGTCTTGAACATTGATGTCAAACGTACGACTTTCAACATACCCAAAATTATTTGGCTCCATCACTAAATCGCTCCCAAATGCAATCCGAATTAATTCCATTGTGTGCCAAGTTCTTATTTGGCGCTGTAACCGCTTAAGCGATTTTGGCCGAGTTCAGCAAAGCACGCCAGTCGTTTCTCTTCTGTGCCAACTGACGCCAATTGGAAATGCCAAGTGAAGCCAAGTCCCTCTCCACTTGGTCTTTCTATCGCAGAGGGGGCCTCCCTCTTCCTCTGCTACCACCGGCGGGTTCCGAGTTGAATACTTTCAGAGTTGGAGCGTCGGAGTCCATGTCATTGTAAAGCTCATACAGCTCATCGTTCCATCGTCTGCGGTACTCGCCGTCGCCAACGCGTAAAGGCCCGTAAATCTTTCTCTCGAACACTCCAAGAGCCGCCTCATGGATGTTGTCATTGTCTATGCTTCTGCACCATATACCCACACGGGCATGATGAGTGACTTATAGAGTGTGGTTTTCGTACGTCGAGAGATGACTTTACTCCTCAATTGCCTACTCAATCCGAAGTAGCACTTGTTGGCAAGAGTGATTCTACATTGAATTTCGATGTTGACATTATTGTCGGTGTTAATGCTGGTTCCCAAGTAAACGAAATTCTCCACTTTCTCGAAATTATAACTGTTAACAGTGACGTGGGTGCCAAGGCGCGAATGCGCAGACTGTTTGTTTGATGACAGGAGATACTTCGTCGCCCTGTCTGAAACCCCGTTTGGTAGCAAACGGCTCGGAGTCGTCTTTCCCAATTCTGACGGCAACTGATAGGCAACTCCTTTTAGTGCTATCGAAAACGGCTTTGAAGTCGACAAATAGGAGGTTAGTGTCAATCCTTTTCTCGCGGGTCTCTTCCGAAATTTGGCGAATTGTGAACACCTGGTCTATGGTGGGGTTTCCAGGTCTAAAGCCACACTGATAAGGCCCAATCAGTTCTTAGACGGTGGGCTTCAGTCTTTCAAATAATACGCTCGAGAAGACCTTGTAAGCTATGCTTAGAAGGCTGATCCCGCGATAGTTGGCACGAATGGTGGGATCGCCTTTCTTGTGGATTGGGCAGAGCACACTTAAATTCTAGTCGTCGGGCATGCCTTCATCTGACCATATTCTGCATAAAAGTTGATGCATGCACCTTATCAACTCCTCCCCACCGTACTTGAATAGCTCAGCTGGCAGGCTGTCAGCTTCAGCAGATTTATTGTTTTTCAAGCGCGCTATTTCTATTCGTACCTCGTCATAGTTAGGCGGTGGCACATCGACTATCGTCGTCAACTGCTACCATTCACTAGGATGGAAAAGTGTTCCCTCTCTGATAAAATTTTCGGGCATTCCTCCTGTCGGCCAGCATTTCAATCTCTTCGCACTCACGTATTTCGGCCTCTCTCTTCTTATTGCGGCAAATACTTCTCGCTTCCCTCTTCAGCTCCCTATAACGGTCCCACATGGCAACGTCTTGTCCTTCTCTTCCCTCGGGGCATGGGCGCTGATGAGCGAGATGTTGAATCTCGCTTTGATGCGGATTATGGCTAGACTCTCGTCCATCGGGGTGAACGGCAGTTCTCGACGACGGAGTCTCTCCAACCACAAATCCAACTCCTTTACATGGCAGCTGTAGCAAGACGTCGCAAGGCCCCAAACATTTTTTGCCTTGCCCCGTCCAACGCGCTTCTTGGATGACGGTGTTCTCAGCTTTTGTCTGTACAAGGACATCAATCAGCCGGGCAGAGGCACCTTCCCCGTTAAGGGTCCTGACATTTCAAGTACATGCCCTCAAATCGTAGTCCTTAAAACGTTTGCCGTGGTTGTCATCAAAAGGGAGGTCTCATCCGAGGCTTTGGTATTATTTTGCATTGAAGCCTGTTTTCACGTGGCGGGTCCCAAATCCAGCGGACAACCCATTGCTGGGACGAGGGTGGTTTCGCAACCGAATGCACCGAAGCTCCTTCTCTTTCAGCCGTGACCCAAGGCTCCATTCGGGTTGGTTACCGCATCTCACACATGGGTTGCTCACGTTGCGCACCTTGCCCAGAGTGCGCGAACGAGGACGCAAGAACCGGGATTGAGTATAGCCGTGCAGCTGTAACTGCATACCCAGCACAACGACTATACCCCATTGCACTCTACACACTACCACGGACTGCAAGACCCTGCTGACGGTTGCGTCGCAAAGGAACACAACACGCTGTTGTCCAATCAGTTTCCGCTGGGATGTAACATGATGAATCACTCCAAACACACTTGACTGACAGCCACACTGCCACCTATGTAGGAGACATGAGAAAGAGAAATATGCGAGCATCTTCAATTTTCGCGAGGCGCACAACATTCAATCTCTGATTTGCGTACTTGCTTGCTTGCACAGCGCTTAAATTCGGCATAAGACTCAATATTATTTACCATTTGTCTCTGCCAGTAGCTACTTACAACATTTGTAAATGTCCATCACTTCATACTTTGAGCTAATTTTGCCTTCCGCAACACTTGCAGGCGTCCTTCCTAGCTAAGACAACGGTGACTGAACCAAGTAGCAGTAGCGTTGAAGTTAATGCCAATAAAATTGATGCAACAAAAAACCAAGATAAGTCAGACTCAACCATACTACAAGACAATCAAATTCAACAACAACAACAACAAATAACCCCAGGGGGTAATAGCACAATTATAAATAGTCCTAGTGCGGGCACTGGAACGCAGGATTTGATTGTAACTTCACCAGGATTTATACAAATTTGTAAGTGCAAACGTTTTAAGTCCACTTCTATTCGCTAATTTATGTGTTTTGTAAAATATCCACATTCTTTCATTGATTGTTTTCCCAAAAAAATAGCAAACAACAAAAATGTACTCACTAAAGGCAGCTCTAATATAACGGTTATGCACGATGAAAAACACAACCTGCAGCTGGATAAATCCATCACACAGCAACAGCTGCAAACAATAATCGGTACACCTGTCAGTAGTGTTACTACGAGTAGAAAGCGATACCTTTACAAAACTAAAAATGAAAATGGTGACTGGATCCAACAGCCGCAGCAGTTGCAACGCACACCGAAAAAGTCAAATACAATAGGTGATCCGAACGTCATCACCGCATATTCAACAAATAATACGCTCAGAGATAGCAGTGCTAAGAAGGGCGATTTATTATTGCTCGATGACAATGAGCAACGTAATCAAGCATTAAATGTAAGTTTTTCTCGTGTGTGGCTTTCATTTTCCATAAATATTGCAAGGCTTAAGATGCTTAAAAAAACGCATATGAAGATTTACATTTATTAAAAATCATATTTTTTTTTGTGTATCACTGTTGCTGTTGTGCATGCTTAAATGATCGTTTACATTTAATCAATTTTATTATATTCTCTTATGCTGCTTTACAGCAAACACTCGAGCGTCACAAAGATCTCCTAAAGAAGAGCATATTGAAGAAACGTTCGCTCTTGGAGCGTAATTTGCAGCATGAAATTAAGCACGAAATGAATACAGAACTATTAAGTTCCTCAGAGAAGGTTGATGCAGATAAAAAATTCGGCAATACCTCTAGTGGAGGTGTTGGTGGTAGTGGTAGTGGCGCAGCTGCTATTGGCGGCCGTCTAATGACCAACGAAGCAAAGAAGTAAGTATACAATTATGTTTGGTGAAAGAATTTGAATTGGTTTATAGCCGAGTGGTTAGAGGGTTGCATATTTCCACCCAATAGAACCAGAAGGAACATTAAAAAACAATTTTTTTTATAATAGAGGTAATCAGCCTCATTTCGAGGTCTTGTCGAATGCTAGTCGTTTTTTGAGAGTAGAGTCGTATCGAAAATTTCATAGCATTGCCTATTCGACTAGTATATTAAAATGGCAAAACTTTGCAGCACTGGAGAGTTTTCGACAGTTTTCGTCGTCTACCTTTTCGGCCGTGCATTTTGGCATAATTTACGACGTACGCAATGACGTTGAATAATATTATAGCGTCCATTAAAACAGTTACATGGATCACTAATGTTCTTTTGTTTCAATTCTTCTTAGACCAAATAAACAAATGAAATATCACCATGCTCCTCAATCACCTGCAATGACACCGTCCAAAAATCCCCATGCCAGATCACAAAAGAAATTCAATAAAAAGAAAGAGAAATTGTATTGCATTTGCCGCACACCATACGATGATACAAAGTAAGTTATTCTAGTCCAAAACATGCCAAAAATAATAACCAAATTTTCTACGTAACCAAAATTTGCACTCTCGTTCCAATTAGATTCTATGTTGGATGTGATCTGTGCAGTAACTGGTTCCACGGTGATTGCGTGAACATTACAGAGGAGGCGTCGAAAAAACTATCTGAATTCATTTGTGATGACTGCAAACGTGCACGCGAGACTCAAGAACTATATTGTTCATGTCGCCAACCCTATGACGAGTCACAGTTCTACATTTGCTGCGATAAGTGTCAAGATTGGTTCCATGGACGCTGTGTGGGCATTGTGCAAAGTGAAGCAGAATTTATAGATGAGTATATTTGTCCCCAATGCCAGCGCAACAACTCGGTGAACTTGGCGAATATGAAGAATTTGTCCGAAAACGAGACGATCGAATTGAAGAAGCTTATCAAGCAAATACAAGTAACACGAAAAACAATGCTCTTTAAATAGTTTTGTAAGATTTGAGTACACATTTTTATTTTTTACTTGTAGGCACACAAGAGTGCCTGGCCATTTATGGAACCAGTTGACCCAGAAGAGGCGCCCGACTACTATAAAGTCATAAAAGAACCTATGGGTGTGTATTAAATAACATATTTTTTCAAACTTTTTTTAACTTTTTCCTGTTTCAATAGATCTACAAAAAATTGAAAAGAAATTAGATACAAATGCATACACAAAATTATCGGAATTTATTGGTGATATGACAAAAATATTCGACAACTGCCGCTACTACAATCCAAAAGATTCATCGTTTTATAAGTGCGCCGAAACTTTGGAAGCATACTTTGTGCAAAAAATTAAAAATTTCCGGGAAACTGTGGTTAGTCAAAACTAAACAAAACAAAACAAAAAAAAAAAAAAACACAAACAAAAGAAAGCTAAATTCACTGTTGTAACAAATGCTGCACCAAGCCCATTTTGCGATCACAGTGTTGTTGTGGGTGCAAATAATGTAAATAGCTATAATTGTTGCATAATCTATGTAAGTACGTATGTATTACATATGCATATTTTGATTAAAGCACACAAACACACATAGATTTACTATATATTTAGACTTTAAGCGCGTTTTTTTTTTGTTTTCATTTGAAAGCATTCATCAGCAAGGAAACTTATAAAGTAAAGCTAAAAGATCGTGTAGAAATCATAAATATTACACGATGTACATTTTGTCTTGTAAATAATTGGTCAATGCATTTAGCTGCGATAGTATTAAGAGCAAAATAAACGTACATACATTGTATTGTATGCTTTTTTCTTTTTTAATTTGAAAAATATTAATAAATACTAAACAAAAAACTTCAATAAATTTTTTTAATTCCGAAGGAACGAGCCTGTTATATGCGGCATTACTGCAGCAGTGATGAAAAATCGCAACACGGTTGCAACTGCCCGACCGATAAAACGATGCTAGAAATTTACACCGAACATGATAACTTTACTAATTCGCGCACCACTGCGGTTGTGGGTTAAAATTAAAATTTAATAGCCGCATACCATCGTTTCTTAGAATTCTCCCAGCTAGATATGACAGCGTCAAGAGCGGCCGTTTGCGTGCTGTTAATAAAAAAAATAAGAAAAATGACAGAAAATCGAAGCCGCCAGAAATGTGTAAGTACATGTTTTCTAGATCTGTCAGCACTAATCCTTCGTGGCCTCCACATGTAAGCTTTTCAAGGATGCACTAGTTATCTGTGTACTTCGTAGTTAAAACAAGTAAGTTGGAAAATATGCAAGAAGCTTCTGCAGTGGCCTGCAAGCAACGCCCACGAAAATATTCTTTTTACTGATGGAAGAGGATTAGCAGTGTTCAATAGACAAAGTGAAAGTGCTAGAACATTCCAAAATGCAACAAGATTTCTTGGATGGTGTGATATTTATTTTTAATTTTGGTAACGAAAGGCGCAAAAGATGAGTCGGAATGTTTTACCACTAGTAAGGTACGTGTAAATGTCTAGTCACCAATACATGTATGCTTCCAACTATTGTCTGCGTTGACTACATTTCATAAATGGAACGGATAATTTTGAGATTAGTTCTGAATCAATTTGGACTAGCAAGACTTGTGACACCACTACGGGACTTTGTGCCTAGAATTTGATAGTCTTCCGCGGCCTGAATGAAGCACTAATATATCCGGGTCCATTTTGGAATGTTACTTCTTTGCGTGACTGCATGGCTTTAAAACTAGTTTCAAATTGGTCCAATATGGTTGGGATTGCGAGTAGAATTCGCAATTTACCCCCCAATTTCGTTGCGCTAATTAACCCTTAATTAGACGCATAAAGAAAGTCACACAATTAGTCACATGGGATCCCGAGTGACCCCAATAAAAGTTTGAAAAAAAAAGTTTTACAAATAAAAAAAAAACGAAGTGTGTATTATCAAAAATATTCAAGTATTCTATTATCGTTAATTTAACAAAAAAAAAAAAAACAAAAACATAATTTCGGCCTCAAACTTAAAAAAGAAAATTAAAAACTTACCTTCACCAAAAAATGTTACGTTATTGGTCGCATGGGGCACTCAAGAGAGTAGCGACACATGTTCTAGCCGTTTAAGAAAGGAAAGCATAACTTTGACTTCAAACTAAGATAAAAAAAAAATACCTCCGCCAAAAAATGTCACGTAAATGGTCGCATGGGTTCAGGACTTAAGAGAGTAGCGACTCATGTGTACACGCCTATGTTCTGGAGTCAAGTGCTGTTAATAGATAAACGCAAAAACTTCTCATTTAATGACGTTCTGATGTACACATATCATTGATCTGTGTGCGGTGTCTCTAACTGCATATTTGCTTTTGGACCGTCACCCAGGGAAATTACTAAAACCAAATTCGCCCCTACTAATAGTACTATCCTCACTTACTATAATTTTTGTTGCCAATAGTTTCTTATGAAACTAAGCGACGTAGTATGTTTATTATTTAGTTTCAAACAACTTATTTATTGACTTATCTTAGCAACACTAAAAACTACAGATAATTTTCCATCCTTTGGAAACAAATTAGTTCAGCGTTTTTAAATCAAGCAATCACGGAGTGAATTTGTGACACTGCATATATTTTGTTAAAATTGTTTATATACAACGAAAAAGGAATTATTGCTTTTACTCTTGAAACTATCGACGTCGGTCGGACCTGAGGATAAAAAAAAAAACTGAAATATAAATTTTCTAAAAGCGCACTGAAGAAAAATAGATTAATCGGATACATAATGTCGCTGGTCTACATAACCCGTCACAATGAGAATATCAATCACTTGGAAAACAAGTCTGATTATTATCAATTGCTACACAACAGCTTTGTTGGAAGACCTAAGAAGTATGCAGATAAAAAGAAAAAAATTAATGCCGTTATAAAATTGCCAGATGGCAAACAATTATTAACTGGTTCACAAAAGAGCGAACATAAGACCATGGGCTACAGCGAGACACCATTGCGTGAGCCATGCGAATTTCTACGCAAAAATGGCGGCGTCAAGTGGCAACGTAAACGAGACCATACCTGTCCCAAACGTGATGCACTCATGTCGCCAGTACCACGCTTGGAAGATTTGAAGAAGGAGAAGCGCGACAAAGAAAAGAAGAAAGTGAATTTTATCAAGAAAAATGTGCTTTGCATTAAGGATGCGGCGGCCAAATGGCATCCGCCGCAATATATAGATTTTCATACAGGCACTCCAAGAAAGTTGCAAAATTCCGGACTTGTGCCACAATATGTATGCACGGGAGTTTTTGGTAAGGTACCCTGCTATTTGCGTGCGCATAAGCGGCATACGCTTGAGGCATGCAGAATGGAGCAGACTCAAATGACAGAACGCTGCAAATTCAATGAAGCGTCCATACGCCAATTGCCGCCAGAGGAGCGTGAGAATATATTGATGGTAAGAGGAAGAAGGAAGTGTAACTCACGTGAGTGGTATAACAATGGTTGGGAATAGCTCAGATTTAAAGAAAAAAAAAACACGTTTTTGAAACGTTTTTTGAACGTAAATTTATGAAGAGCTTTTTAATTTAAATATTTTTTCAGGGTCTTAAACAACATTTTAATGATGTATTTAAAGCGTACCAAGCTGGTTCACTCTATACTGATACCATCTCGAAACGATTGAGGAAGTCAAATTTGGAAAAGGAATTGCGCCAATTGGAACATGATATTTTTCTCCTCGAATCTAATCCAGTAATATATGTATCTGAATTTTAATTCTCAATAAAGCGAACATTTAAAATTATTTTACAAAATTAATTACTATACGAATGAGGGTACGGCCCCCAAGATCCTAAGATGTATACCATGATAGTACGACCAATGGTGTCCTATGGGGCAGTAAGTTGGTTTTCGAGAACGCCGTAGCCGCGCTCAGGTTGTCTCCCACCGCATGCCCGACGATAGTACATACTATAGGTAGTTCTGAAACTACTCTCCTAAACTTTACATTAGATGATGGCTATGACAGAGGTAACGTTCTGTCGTCTAGAAATATAGGGAATTTCGGATCCCAACTAGCCGTTTTTCGTAGAGATGATATAAATAAGGCCACTGTTTCTGAAAACAAATTCAAAATAAGAGCTCTGATTCCCTAGAATCTTCAAAGCATGCCCTTCGCATTCACGTAACTGTGTTTCTCTTTTTTAATTGCTTAAAATACGTCTCGCTTTGCTATTCAACCCAATGTAACTGTCCTCCACAGCTAGAGTTGCGTCCGATTGTAGCGTGGCCGTTGGCTGTCCGCTGTGATCGAGTTTTTCGAATAATAATAATAGATTGATCGATATTCTTACAACTGAGCCAAATGCTACAAAATACCATTTTTCGGGCATCGGAGAAGTCAATCAGCCTAAATCCATTATCGGTGGTTTCTTCATGGAGATAAATTTTTCCAACAATGCGACCAAAAATCGTCTCCTTACTCATCCTGGCATTAAAATCGCAAGATAGAATTTTATTAGTCTCGTGTCGGGTATGAACGATAATGTCGGAAACAAAGTCTTCCCAACACAAATCCAACACAGAATTAGCGCTCCTTGACCTGGCAAGTGTAGTATATGTCGCCAGTTCCGTCGTGTTTATTTACCTGTCCCGACTATCGCATCCGCAGCCGAGCCAAAGGTGCGAATATTCCTCAAACCATAGTCCTTCAATGTTCACCGTGGTCGTTATCAAAAGGGGTCTCATCCGAGGCTCTATTCATTGCAGTGATTTTCTTTCGTGACTGGTACCTACCTACACCCAGCGCACAACCAGAAACTGGTAAAATTTTTATTGCATGTACATTTACGCGAACGCTTTTTCCGACAGACAGACACCGGAATGAAGCCGCACTTCATGATGAAAAGATGTTTCAGACTCCAGTGAACCCTTAAACCGAATTCGTCGGACTGAGACACATCAAAGCAATGTCTGCCGTGTCCAAAGGCTCCACACGGAGATTCGCACATGCGACTCTCACGTTGCCAAGGTGTAGAGTTTCCACCGATTTAAAGAATTTAGATTAATAAAATGTATGCGAAATGCATACTAAATTCGGTTTTAAACTGTAGAAGGATGAGCGACTAAAAACTATTCACACTCACTTATTGAACTAAAAAACGACATTGAAACTACCATGGATAATCGAGTAACAGTCGTTTATCTACTACTAATCGACACTCGCGTTCGGGGTGCTTGTGCTTAACTAGCGTAATAGTACCACTTCGTAAATTAGTCGTCGAGGGAAACATTCCGAATTTGTGTTCATGTCAGAATGCAATGTGTATACATATGTAATGCTATGTGGTTTATGTTTATTGAATTTTGTTCATTTTTTAGTAATAAGATGCCATAAGTTATGAAAACTTTAGGAAATATGCTGAAAATCTACAATCTAAAGACATACAAGTGTATTTAGTATAATATTTTATGAAAAAACACATAAACGTTTACAGCGTCAAAAGCAGTTACTTTTAATTGCTTTTTTTTGTTTTTTTTCTAATCTTCACTCGCTGCAGACTTCTGAATGGTTATCCCAAGCATTAACCTTGAAGCACCAACGAGAAAAAAACAAATTTAAAATGTATTTACATAAATATCTATCATAAACATACCTGACACTCCCTACTACAATACCATTGATTGCCACAACCGGCGCATACAAAGCGTGCTTCATGCATTTTGCACTCTTGACACAATTGTAGATGATGATCATTGTTGTGCACGTCGCGCATTGATTTATGTGGAGTGGATTTTACATAATCGGATATATCGTAGTATGTGTTGGATGGAGAATTCTAAAAATATTAAATATATGTACATATAAGCCATTATTAAGAGGCACGTGAAATGAAAAATGGCGACATTGTTGCAACTGCCCAACTGATAATACATTGCTAGAAATTCACACAGAACGTGATACTTTAATAATTTGCCCAACACTGCGGTTGTGATTGCAATTCGAACAAGACCTAAATCTCTGACTTATGAGCGTGTAATTTAATATTTCGATTTTACTCAATTTATAACTACTTACCACATCCAGTGCCGTTCGAAGTAGTCCTGCTTTTGTATTTTGTATTCTTTGTGGATAGCGATTTACACAGTTCACTGGCGTGATGGAAATTTCATTGCAACCGCCATCACTTTGTAGACGGTAGTAACTTTTTTGGCTATCTGTGTTAAATTTAAATCCTTGTGTAATTGGCGCACTGGGCTTAACATGTAACGAGCTATTATTTCGAGATGATTTACTAAGCAATTTCTCCAATGTTGGTGTATAATTGGATCCATTGCCATTATATGATGTTTCCATAAACATACTATTCGCATCAACACACTGTGTTTTCATTGCCGTAGACATGTATTAGTGAATATATTGCGAAATATTGATAACAAAATTTGTACTCACATTTGGTGGCGTACTAAGCGCTCTCACACTGTAACCAGCATCGCTTGCTTTAATACGCTTTCCGACGCGTGGAAAAACAACGGGATTTTGTTGCCGAAAATCAGCAACCATGCTCTTTACGTCTATAAATTGCCCCTGTCTACCTACTCTTGATTTGATTTTTTGTTCCAAATACTGATATTTTTGCAGCTCTGGGCTATCATCATTAAATGCTGTGTGGTGAAGGGGTGGCGAATCGCTTTTGACATCATCCATTTCATAATTTGAGGCTTCAGCGCGCTGTAGAATGTTGCTGGATATTAAAATGCTTAAAAGATAAAGCTGTTTAATAGAAATTTACAACCATTTTCTAATATTAAACAAGTCCTTACTTTTGTAAACGATTTGTATTGTTGCGTTCCTTTTGCAATTCTTCTGTCTTCATACTAGCACGACTTTCAATTAGCTGGTGCGTGGTGGAAAGCCCTATATTGACCGAAGTTGTTGATGGCGATTGCGACTCCGACAAATATGTTTCCAATTCTTTAAGTGCTTGCAAGCTATATTTATATTCATCGAATTTACGCTCTTTTATGCCAATTATCTGCTTAGCACGCGATAATCTTCCCAACATCTCTTCTTTAACTCTTTTCAAATTCAACAAGCGATTCCATTCTGTTTCTTTTGCTTGCAAAATCTCATTCAGTGTTTGAATGTCCAACATTAGTCGTTCCATATTTTCATCTACTGCATCTAATGTGGTACTGTTATGTTTTACATGATTTCCAATAACTTCATCGTGTTTGGGAAACATTTCATTGATTTGTCTGTATAATTGTGACGAAGTTGGCCGTTCCGGTTGGTGTTTCTTATTTTCGTTGAAATTTGTTTCTAGGTCAGGGGTTGGGGAACGCGCCCTTTTTTGAGAATTTTTGTTTATTGATTCGGTTTTGATCTCCTGATATGAATTTGAATTAGTTAACAGTTTAATTAAATCAACAAATGTTTTCTTACCTCCAAATCTGGCTTTTTGAACTCCTCAATTTGTTTTTCTAACAATTCTATTCGCCCTTTAACCACTTCAGCTGGCTTTTCAAGCACCTCCTTTGTTTTTTCAACTACCTCCTTGGGCTGTCCAACTACCTCCTTCGGCTTTCCTACCACTTCCTTGGGCTTTACAACCACCTCCGCCAGCATTTCTACCTTCACATCATTAGCTGTGTCTTCAATATCTTCTTCGTATATTTCTCTATTTTCTTCTTTACTCTTAATCGGCGAGCTATATTCCACATCAGATTCGTCTAAATCTATGGTTTCTGATAAATTTTTACTCAATTTATCTTCTTTGCAGGTATTAGCAACTTTAACTTCCTTTTCACGCCTGTGAGATTCCTGTACAGGCGCTTCCTTTTTTCTCAAGCATAGCAAATACTCTTTACTCTTTTCGCGTTTCGCCTTGCCATGAAGCCTGGTTTGGATACAAAATTTGATAAAATTTATTATTAATTTTATTAATTCTATCAAAAAGTATATCCAAATGGGGACAAGTATGTATTTACCATTTCAGTGATCTGGTCTTGTATTTACTGCATAATTTTCTTCTAAAAGGCAGTCTTCGTTCCCTTTTATTAGACTTCCTTGATGGTGGTCTGTTGTAAGAACGTTCAGCGTTCCTCGGCTTGCCATTATGCTGTGAACTAATAGCAGCGTTCATTAGATCGTCGTCATCCTCTTCGCTGTACTCATCACTGCTTATAATATTTTCTGTATCATCGTATATATCGAGACTTGACATTTTGAGGAGCCTAGTTAAGGATGTAAAATCACTTACAACTTAATTAATATTTTACAATCTAATAAGTATCGAAACAAGCAATGGAAACAGCGTACTTAATTTACGCTTGCCCATGCGACTTCCGTTTTTGCAGCCGGCTTTGCTCAGTAAAATGTTTGGCAATTTATTATTCGCTTTGTTGATTGTTTCTCATAAAAATGATAACAAAATACTTACGCTGCTTATGTAAACGAAAACTTTTTCACAATTTTTCAACGCTAAAACTATTTTTTTGCATCAAATTTGCTTTGATTAATAAAATCTGTAATTGCAATTAGATGTCATAGCGATGTCAGACACAATGCCACAAAATCGATAAATGTTTATAAGGGTTGCCTCGCTAGATTTTAAAAATATTGTACATCGCAGCAAATTAGCATGTAAATCCAAATTAACACAAAAATGTAACAAAAAAAAAACGAATTATTGAACAAAGAGTGCTGTGCAACTGACATTGTTGTATTTAATAATACCTTCCCTATTGTACAAGCTTTTTTATTTATGATTTGGGACATTTTAGCATCTAAGTATAACAGTTTTTGCATTACTGTACTCGGTTACTTTTCTGCAAGTTCCCACACTACTATTAATCGATTGTTGGTTTTGAAATGCAACTCTGTTCGGACCTCTTAATCATTTTAAAGATTACGACTTTCGAACAACACCTATTTGTCATTGCTAGATTGGTCACTTACTTTTTATGTGAGATTTGTTTAAAGACTATAATAAATAGTAAATTTTTATGGAAATGACATCGTATGTGCGTGCAATGTACGATTTCTCCGGTGAGCCGGGCTCATCGGAGATTTCAATAAGCGTTGGTGAAATCCTAGCTGTCACTCGAACGGATGTTGGAGAAGGTTGGTGGGAGGGAAAGAATAGTCAAGGAAAAGTTGGTCTTTTTCCAGCAGCCTATGTGGAAGTGATGTCAGCCGCTGAGGCACAAAAACTGAACCAAACTAGCTCTGTAAGTAACACCACACCTGCAGCCGTAATGCCTGCAACGACCACCACGAATTCCACAGCAGCTGCTACAGCTGATGCCGCAAATAGGTATGACCAAACCGCTGATGATATTGACGATTGGGAGGACGACTGGGATGATGATAATGATACATACTCAGAAATAGGGCCCAGTGGTGGGGCAAAGTCCAGTAATCAAGCTGCACACACTAACGCACTTACACATTCCGCTAGCAACTATGATAATAAAAATCTACCTGCTGCTCCGATGGATGACTCTATATCAATAGCGTCAGCAGCCGCCCCCAACAACACAGCCACTTTGAAAAAATCTGGTATGTTTGGTAAAAGTTCCGATTCATATATACTAGGCTTGGGCAACAAGGAAAAACTCTCTGATCATGAAATTGTGCATATCACATGTGTGGATAATTTCTATTATTGGCAAACCAATCATCAAACGTATGCTGTAGTCGTGGCTAGCCCAAAAAAGGAATCAAAATTTAAGGGGATGAAAACGTTCATTGCATACCAATTAACGCCAAGCTTTAATAACATATCTGTAAGTAGTTTCTTAGTACAATACATAGTACATATTTAAACCGAAAAATAACCTTTTATTAAGCAACATTTGGAAAAAAATCCTATTAAATGCATACCCTAAAAAAAACTTCAAACTTTAATTATTTCCTACCCGGCATGTTTAGAACAGATGTTTACATGCATTTATTGACACATATTTCATTGCAGGTATCAAGACGTTACAAACATTTTGATTGGCTACACGAACGTTTAGTGGAAAAGTTTTGTCTCATTCCCATTCCACCGCTGCCAGACAAGCAAATCTCAGGCCGATATGAAGAACAATTCGTGGAACATCGACGTGTGCAATTGCAAGAGTTTGTCGACTGGGTGTGTCGTCATCCTGTGCTTTCACAATGCGAAGTGTGGCATCATTTTCTGACCTGCAACGATGATAAGATGTGGAAATCGGGCAAAAGGAAAGCCGAACGTGACACATATGTCGGTGTCACCTATTGTTGGGCTATATCGCCACCCGAGAAGACACTGTTGCCATCGCTTGTTGATGCACAAATGGAGAGTTGTTCGCAGTTTGTACATGCGATGGATATTTCAGTACGTAATCTTTTGGCATTGTCTAATGACACTGCGAAACGTTATCAAACACAATGTAAAAAGGAATTCCAACGTATCGGCGATGGTATGTCAGATCTGGCAAAGGCATTGAATATTGACGAACGACGCGCACCATCA